CTGGCAGTGACCACAAGTTGGCCCTAAGCAGAACAGCTGCATTTGCAATGATTGTTTCAGTCTCAGCCCAACTTCTTGTAAAAGGTGAACTTGTGCCTTTGTTCTGTCTTTTTTCTGGTAACCTAACTCTTGTCCTCAGGCTTGTCAGTGTGCATCATTAATGTGAAAATTTCTGTTCACCCAGCGATCTGTGACCTGAATGAACCACAGGAAGTAGAATTTGCAAGGAGAATTGAGGAGGAAAGATATTTCCTTTCCTTCTCTCCTGAAGTAACAAAATAATCAAATACCTATGGAGCTAGAGAGCAGAAGTGTGGTTGTCTGTGTGACCTCAGCAATGCCTGTGGGTGCAGGGAGGCAGGTGAGGAGCCTCGCAGTGCCATCTCACATTTGGAAGCAGGCCTGAGCTGACAATGCTTCCACTGTGGCTGGCACTCCTTCTAGTAAACCTGCATTGACTAATGGGGAGCCCCTAAAAATACTGTATCATGGCAGTTTGACATTCCTTGTGGCTGGCCAGTCTTCCCATGGAAAGAAAGGCTCTTGGAATTCAGAACACCTGTTTCAGAACACTAATCACTTAGCGTCAATAAATGATTCTGCTGAGAGGAAGAGATGGACCAATTATTGCATGTATTGTAAATCTGCCTGATTGGGAGCATTTCTGAGCTCATGTAGTTGCTCTTTCCTTGCTGATCCCGTACCAGACTCAAATAACATAAAAAGCTCTGATAAATCTGATTCATAGACTTTTTTTCCCCAGGAACTTTTTATTTTTTTAAGGACTGTGTAGGAATGAAGGCATAACTCAGGGGTAGAGTACACATGGTAAGCATGAACTGTACCACTGAGTTTACATTCCTAGCCACCAAATAACTTTAAGCAAGAGTAAATACATAAAAAGAATTATGAAATAGTCCTTCCTCTCTACTGCTTTTTGTTTTTCCACATAGAAGAATGGGAAAGATCAGAGAAGTGGAGAATAATGTGCTGGAAGGAACAAGGGAAGAGCCCTTGGTTCATACCCCAGTACCAGGGAATTAAAGTTTAGAAGGTTACATATAGTATATGTGTAATAAAGTGTGTAAATCTGAAATGTTGCTAAAATTTGGATTGTTTATACATATTGGCTGTTATGAGTAATATTACTATAAACATCTTTCATGTATTGTTTAGGTCCATGTGTTTAACTGTGTCATGTGAAGCCATATTTGTAAATGAAACCAGGTCTCTGTCCCAGAGAGTTCACCTGCCAAGCACGAAAAATGAGAAAGTCCTATGAAAGAGGGTGGTTTCAGGGTATTCCCTAGAAGAAATCGGCCAAGGCATATCACCTGGCCTGGTGAAAAGCTCACTGAAACTATCATTTTTCTTCATGGATGTCCTATGTTTTATCATTAGATAGCAATAGTGAAAAATTATGAAGTTAACTTTGGAATGTATTCCACAATTCTTAGTGAAACTTCCTTTTGGAAGACTTTGAGCTACTACTGGCCTATAGTATGTCTCTGAGCAACTGCTAGTCAGTAGAATGTGTGTGATTTGTGTTCCTTTTGTTCTTTTCTTAATCCATGTCTGTTGCTATTGTTGTCAGATTGCCTCTCATTATATAACTCAGCTTATTCTTTTTCTTTATTTCTCCTCCTTTCCTCCTTTCTCCTCCCTCTGTTCTACACATTCCCTTCCCTACCCCTTCCCACTCACCTCCTTCCCTCTCTTCCTCCTTTCTGTGACAGTACTGGGAATTGAATTTGGTTCCTCAAACTTACTAGGGAAGTATTTTACCACTTCAGCCACATCCCAGCTCTTTTTCTTTACTTTGTTTTTTAGGTAGGGTCTTGGACTTTTGCTTGATTTTGACTTGGACCACAGTCCTCTTACGCATACCTCTAAGACATGTATTACCACGCTCAGCTCTAGCTCTGCTTAATTTCGTTAAAACAGTATTAATACCATAAAACACATTTTTAAAGGCATGTCCAACAGTATACCAACTGTCAGATTATTAAATCATAAGACATGCACAATGTCTGTAAAGTCTATACATGAGACTTTTTAATTTAATTTTTTTTTTGTCAGTTGTGGGGCTTGAACTCTGGGCTTGTGCGCTGTCCCTGCACTCTTCAGCTCAAGGCTATCTATCGCTTAAGCAACAGTGCCACTTTGGATTTTCTAGTGGTTTATTGGAGAGAAGAGTCTGAAGGAGTTTCCTGCCCAGGCTGATTTTGAATTGTGATCCTCAGATCAGCCTCCTGAGTAGCTAGGATTACAGGCTTGAGCCACCAGTGCCTGGCTCCATATATGAGACATTTATGTGGTGCTTTCATGGGAATGAATGTGTAGTACTTAAAAGCAATTTAAAAATAAACAAATTGAATTATATACTTCTTGTTTCATGATGTAGGAAATAAGTGTTACTTATTATTTGTTAAATAATATCCATATAGCTAAAATGAGTCATATAAGGTAAGAAGTCTGTATATTGGGACTAGGTATAGCTCAGTGGTAGACCGCTTACCTAACAGGTACTGGGATTATTCCCCAGTACTGCCAACTACATTAGTATATTGGGATTTACTGTGTGTAATTTATTCCTAATTATTGTTTATCTCTGAAGTGCTTTTCAGTTATTTTTCTCAGTGGGAAAAACTCCCCCTCCTTCCATCCCTCCCTCCAAAGCTGTACTTACTCCAACAGAGAAAGAGCTATCCAATGTAATGTCCTAGGTGAACTGCTGATGGCCATTCCAAGTCTCAGGACCTTTTTGGATCATTTATGTTGCTTTTATTCTTATTATAAGATTGACTAGACAAGATTAGATTTGAAGGTCAGCTGTAAACATTTGATAGGTCTAATCACAAGTTGGCCAATTGGGAGGTTTTTATTAAGTTACTGGAAAAATTGGTCGTCAGACACATTTTATTAATCCCGTAGTTTAAATGGGCCATCTGTTGATTTACTCCCGTAATTGTTCCTTTTTTTAAGTATCAATATACCCAGTTAAGTTGCATCCAAGGGTGCTGGGGATCCTTTCAAAAACCTAAAGGGCATTATAGCCAGCCCTCTGGACTGAAACTTGGCCTGAATAATTTTGTCTATTCCTCTCCTTCTGTGTTCCCTTTCTCTGAGTTGTGAAATTTGGTATTGTCATTATGGACATTGAAGCTTATGCTTGTTGGAGATAATTAGCTAGAAGGAGAAATAGGTTTGGGAATAGGAAAATGACACCAAACATTTGGCAGTAGCCATAGCAGTAGCTTCATCTCTTTTCAGTGTAGCTTTTGGAACAATTAAGAGAAACCATGGGCAATTCAGGGTGCTGGCTGTTCAGCCCATTAGGCTCTTGAAAAGAACCTCTCAGGGGAAGAGCTCAGGAAATGTATGACTGGGAATGGAGTCAGAGCTCAAGATCTAAGCAACTTAGTTTAGCCTACACAGAAATCTGGAAGTACATTTTATCTCGTTTTTCTGATTTTCTATGAGATCTGAAAAGCAATTAAAAATGAGGATTCTTAGGCCACACAGAGTAGTGGCTGTGAAGCAATGTGCTTACAATGTATTTTCTATGAAAAAGAAATAGTGGCTCTGTTCTGGGCCCTTATCTTTCCTTTCCCAAGGTGATATCATCTAGTTTTCTGTGAGTCTCTGGAGTTCCCCCTTCTGTTTATTCCCTGCTCAGACTTTCTTCAGATTTTTCCCACTGCCTCTCTGAATTTTCACAACTATCTATGTTCAGCAAACCTTGCTCATTTTACTTGGTCATCAAGTGAAAAAAGTTCAGCCAGATTAGCCAGTGTGGCTACTCATCCAGTAGACCTTAATCTTCTAACCTGTTTCTCTCCCACTCAGTCTTCCTGTTGTTGGGTATTCAGGGGTGTTCTTGATTCAACTCTCGTCAACCCATCCATGCTGTTTCTTAACCTCTAATGATCCATCATCATGCCTTCTCTTCTCTGCACCCTCAAAAATAGCCAGTTGTGCACAGTTCATCTCTGCTGATCCCACTTTAATGAAAGCCATTTTTATTTTTTAGTTTTTTCTTTTTGTCATGGGGCTTGAACTCTGGGCCTGGGTGCTGTCCCTGAGCTCTTCAGCTCAAGGCAAGTGTTATATCACTTAATCCACAGCGCCACTTCCATGAATGCCATTTTTATCTAGTCTAAGTCACATAATGATGTTGGGCTATGGAACCTGGCAATCCCACCATGGTATTCTTATCTATCTTGGTTTATCTCTTAAATTCCTGGGCTTAAGTGATTCACTTCAGTCCCTACCACTGCTCTGAAGCTTTTTTCCCCCCTAATGCTGGGGATCAAACCTAGAGACTAGTTTGTGCTAAGCCAAGTGTTCTACTACTGAGCTATACTCCAGTTCATGTTGCTCTTAAAATCCAACTCTGTATCCAACCCTCTTGCTAGATTCTCCAAGCTTCCTCATAGTGTCATACCCACCTGCCTCTCATCCCAGGTTCTTATCTCCTCTCCTCTCTAGCCACACTGGCTCTTTTTACCTTGGATATGCTAAGTTTATGTTTAAGGATTTTATGCTTCCTCTTCTTTCTGCCTGGCATGTCCTACAAAAAGGGTATGATTGTGTAACTTGATTCCTCCTTGACACTTAGGTTATCAGTTTATTAAATGACTTTGCAGCCAGAGAGGCCTTTTTTGACCAGTCAGTATAAAGTAGCCAGCCAGACATTCTTGGCTGCATGATCATATTTTATTTTCCTGAATGGCACTTGCCACTGCCCTCCTCCATAGTGCTTATTGCTCTTGCTCTCTCCTTTAGGCAACCCCTTAGAAAGGTCAGTTGATGTTCCAAGCTGTAAAGCAAGCCAAATGATAGACATCCAGGGAACTTTTTTCCCCTCAGTATTTGTTATTAACATATATGAGTTTTTCAAGGGGGTTTATTGTGGTATTTCCATGCATGTATACAGTGTACCCCAATCAGATTCATTGCCTCTGTCACTCTCATTTCTTCTTTCTACCTTCTTACAGGAAATAGCATTAATTGAAGTAAAGAATAAATTTACCCCAAGGCATCTAATTAAAATTCTGGGAAAAAGGAGGTCTTGAAATACTGTTTAGCAAACAAGAATCAGTAAGTATACAACTACAAAATGATCACAACTATGAAATCTATAAATATCATTGGTGCTCATCTTCATTTAATAGGTTATCTCTATCTTTGTTGAACAAATAGAAAAAGAAACCCTTTGAAGTTTATTCACAAATGCATTTCCATTTTTTAAGTTCATTAAGTTATTCAAAATGGCTTCTCTTCCTATAGCAGTTTTCAAGACTGTATCTGGACAGTGAAGGCAGAACCTATATGGTGCATTGCCTAAGGAAGTGTATAGAGCCTTAGTGTCTTCCTTGCTTAGACCTAAGCAAATGTAATCACTTAGGCAATTACAAAATTTTGCATTTGAAGTTATACCATGTGGTATATAACAGATTGTATGAACAATATCCTAGACCGTCAAGCACTAGGTATATAGTAGTCTATTTCATCTAGGCTTGAGTAACATCTATGATGTTACTATAATGTTCTGTTGAACAACAGAAATGCCAAATAAAAATTTCTCAAAACAAGCCCTGTCATCAAAGGACACACAAGTGAACATGTAAAGCAGAGGCTCTGGGCTGCAAGTATGGGTCTTTGAGAGTGCTTGCCTGCCATGTGCAAGACTCTGTGTTCAAGCCACAGTATTGAGGTGGTAGAGATGGAGGGGGCAGGGGGAACAAAACCAAAACCAATGTTAAATCAGGTCTCAACTACAGGACCCTGGTATAAGTGGCCACATAATTCTTTTTTTCTAAAAGGCTGTTTATGATTAGTATTTTGCAGCATCCAGACACTGCCAGTTGTCCTATGGGAGGGCAAAATCTTCCCTACCAAAAACTACACTTCTGCATTAAATAGGTTTTCTCTATATTGCAGGATTATAATTGAAAAATCAGATAAATAACTGATATAGATGAGATATTTTAGCTGGGGAAATTAAGCAGAGTTTTAAAAGTGATTATAAAAGAATGATTGTTGTATACTATTACTAAATTATACAAATGTGTTTTCAACTTGTGTGTTTCTGTAATTCCATTTAAATGTGTACATTAGAAGTGCTATAATATTCTGATGGGATTGGTACTTTCAGTGTTTCCTTTCCCTTTCCTCCCCTCCCCTTCTCTCCCCTCCCCTCCCCTTCCCTTTTTCCTTTTTCCCTTTTTTGCCTCCCCATTACCATGGAGCTAAACACTTTGCGAGACAGTAATGACTGAAGAAGATAAAACTCATTTCTTTCCCTCCTGTTCCTCCTTAGCCAAAGAAACATGTTATTAGTTTAAATGTTTTTATGTTGGAGTCAAGGTAGCAAAGGCATGCTTTCTTGGACATTTTTTTCTAGAAAATACTAGCAGTATAATTTGAACAGATTTTTTTTAGAGAAGGGAAAATGTACTAGAAGATGTGTAGATTGGAAGCCCTTTAATTTGATTTCCATACATATTGTAGTTCTCTACTTCAGAAATCATATTTTATTACTTTCGGATCCTCTACATCGTACTGATTTTTTTTAAAGTACAGGAGACAAATAGCAAAATATAACGTACTGATTTTTTTAAAAGTACAGGAGACAAATAGCAAAATATAAGCAGGCTAGTTTTAGTATAGGAGTGCTTGATACTTTGTAATTATTTCTAGATTCCACCCCCCCCTCCCTCCTTTCTGGGAATCAGATGCAAGGCTTTCTGCATGCAAGCAAAGTGCTCCACACACCAGGCTATACATCAGTCCTGAGCCATAGATTTTTAGAAGCTGGCATAAAACTAGGCTTGTGGAGAGCTCCAAAGTTTTTGAAAGTAGATTTCTATTCTGAGAGGACCTTAGTTACAAGCCTCAGTGGGATTTAGAGGTGCAGCTCAGTGGTAGAGTATTTTCCTACCATGTGCGAAGGTTTGGATTCATTCCCAGCACCACAAATCAAAACAATGTGCCTCAGTGAACCACTCCATATGTTTAGGTAATCAGAAGTAGATAGCATGCAAGGTGAGAAGATGCTGTGGTTGATGGGGTACTTTTGTACACAAATGTAGGATTTGGTTTGTGAATCTTAATAATTTTTGAAACATTTTGAATGCTTACAAACTAACAGATGTCAATATTTTCATTTTCTGTTCAATATTTCAACTTCACTTTTTGTAAGGAAAAGCATAGCATTAGCTTTTCTTTCTTTTGTTCTTTCTTTGTTGTTGTTGTGGGGTTTGAACTCAGCACCTGGACCCTGAGCTCTTCTGCTCAAAGCTAGTGCCCTACCACTTCGAACCATAGCACCACTTCACTAGCTTTTCTTAGTAAATACACTCCCTCAGCACTGGACTCTCAGAACAAGTTTTATAATTGGCAAAACAGTCTGTGTGAAGGATTTATAATTTTGTTATTTAGAGGAGTGATTGTCTTAAAGAGATACCTGTGAAGAATAGTGTGTGACCCTGTAATGACTAAACTTAGAGAAATAAAGACATTTTTTTCTACCAGCACCTAGGTCCTGATTCATCATAGAATACTCAGGACTCCATTGGTTATTAAAAACAGACAGAAATTTGTCAGTGCTTTTTCCTACCAAATGTAAAATTTAATTTTGAAATCTTTGAAGATGTGTTTTCTACTAGTTGAAAATAATAAGAAGCACACTCCTGTTTAAAGTTAAGTTGTATAAGGTTGCTTGGGTTATGTATGTGTGTGTGCATATATGTATGTGTGCATATTTGTGTGTGTGTGTGTGTGTTCACTTCTTGGCTCACTTTCCTGAGCCATAGAATACTTTCCCATGATGGTCATTGAAATAAAGGCTGAGAGAGTCTTAACTTATATACCAAATATGTGTTTGATTTGTAAGATCTTTGTATAGCTTTAGTGAGTTCATTATTGCAGCATCTCAATTTAGAGGTATATCTTATCATTTATATATTCATTTGTTTCTTCTACTTACAAAGTCCTGTTTAAACCTTTCTCTCTGTTCAAAATATTGCACAGTTTTGGTAGAAATTAAATGACAATTATTTGTGAATAAAAATTAATCTATTCAAACATATTTGGGTTTATCACTAAGTATTGTCAGTGGTAAGCTACTTCTGTGATGTGTGCAAATGCAAGTTTATTTTCTCACATGAGAAATGGCCTTTGAAGTTTTCCAAGGCTGGTGCTTGGTGTACCACCCAGGATGCTGGTTTCTGTCCTTAATTCCACTGGTATCTTTCTCATGGTTGGTTTATTATGACAATGCCTACTGTTCTTTCAGGCATCCTTACTTCAAAAAGGAGAAAGAAAGTGGTGGTAAAGATAGGCTGAGACCTTCCTTGATATCAGGAATGCTTAAGTCTACCAATAAATTGCAATTTGGAGACTTGAACTTATGTTTCCTAGCTCAGACTGATAGGACCTGCTAGTTACACCTAGCCTACCAAGAAGCACAGGAGCCATGAGTACAGAATTCATGCCATGGTACTGCATACTGCCTGAACAAACAGAATCTATTGATAGTGAAGAGTGGAAGGGTTGGACAAGGTAGGTGATGTACAGTGTCTGCCAGTCTGTTGGAATGAGTCCGTATATGCTAGATAAGTTCAGAAGTTCACTTTGACTTTCTTTCATTCTTAATTTCCTGGAATAAATTATGGATTTTATTTTTGACATTCTTTTAGCTATTCATCTCTAGCCATCCTTGTCAATTTGCTAGGTGGCTCAGATGCTAGAATAGCAAAAACTATTTTTAAGATTATTCCTAATGTCAATTATATGATGAAAAATGGAATTTTAGTTATTCTTCAGAATTCATAGTTGAAACCAATTTGATAAATTTATACTTTCAAAAAGAATTCTTTTTAGTAGTTGTTTAAAAGATTAATTTGGTTTTATTTGTAAATAAAATACTCTGAAGAATTCATTTTTAAATTTCATGGGCATTGACCATCGTGTGTGTGTGTGTGTGTGTGTGTGTGTGTGTGTGTGTAAATGTGTGAGTTCATATTCTCCTTTTTTTGTGTGTGTTAGTACTGGATCTTGAACTCAGGGCCTGGGCTCTGTTTCTTTGCTTTTTCACTCCAGGCTGGCATTCTACTACTTGAACCATACCTCCACTTTCAGCTTTTTGCTGGTTAATGGGAGATAAGAGACTCATGGATTTTCTGGCCCCCAGCAGTGTTCAAATGGCAGTCCTCTTACTTGAGCCCTCTAAATAGCTAGGATTACAGGTGTGCGTATCTAGCACCTGACTCATTCTGCTTTTTAAAATTGATAACATACTGTCACATGTAGTATGATTTTCCCATGTAGTATCATATTTGAAAAATTAATTGCTTTGGTGTCCTAATGAAGTCAGCTACTTTCTGGTCATCCACTTAAATTACCTTCCTTCTGTTCTGCTATTACAATGTTGCAATTTGCATATTTATTGTAGATTAACTTTTAATACTGTGGGTTAGTTTATTCAGACTTTTTACATCTTACTGACTTTTGAGGCATTTAGCTAATTGTAAGAGTCATATTCTACAGTGCCCATCAGCAAGACATAAAAACACAAGTTGCTTACATCCCCCAGTATTTTTTCATATTTTTTCTTTATAGGAAGCCCATTTCCTTTAAAAAAATTTTTAAGTGGTTGTACAAAGGAGTTGTCATTTAACAAAGCAATTTATGAACACAACATATCTTGATCCATGTCCCCCTTTCAGCATTCTCCTCACCCATGCCTCCCCTATTTACCTTTTCCCTTATACTTCGTAATTTTGTAGGATATACATTGAATTTTTGGCTCCATTCTACCTCGTACCTTCTCTTCATTCCTCTACCCTTTACCCCTTGACTCAGCCCATTCCTTTCAAGTACCCACTTCCTGGTGTTTGTTTTGTTAAACTTAGACTTTGTCTTTCTAAGGAATTATGCTATTTGAGTTCTTCCTAGAATCTACATATTTCACTTAATACATTTGTATACACTTGCATACCACCTAAAGTATTCACATAAAGTTATAGGCTAAATCTAGTGTCCACATATAAGCAAAAACATGCATCCTTGTCTCTCTGGGCCTGGCATACTTTACC